TGGAGCATCGGCACTGTCGCAGATGGGAGCCGGCCCCAAGTGCAGGGCACCAAACAGGGCCAGGCCTTCCCTCTCCTCCACCTCTGGGCGCTTGGCCTGCAGAGAAAGCTGAGGCCAGGAGGGGGAAGGGACTGGAACCCTGCTTTCCATGGCTGGACCTTTGAGGTGGGGGCAGTGAGGCTTTGGCTACCTGGAAATCCTCAGAGCCTTCTGTCATCCCAATGCTGCTGGGAGGGTGGGACTTGGGACACGGAGTATGGACATTCTCAGGAGAGGGCAGCTGGTGTGCGTGTGGGGTATAGACCATCCTGGAGGGAGGCGGACTTGGCGGAATGTGGGAGCCCTTGAGAGGCAGCCTTTCCTGGAGAAGGCGGGCCTTCCCGAGAGCGTGGGGACCTCCCCAGGAGCAGATCTACCTCGAGACAGGCCGGGGGCCTTGGTGGGGACGGGCGCAGCACACGCGGCCACCCTTCTCTGCCGGCCCCTGGCCTCAGCTGACTCAGCTCGGTCCTTGTCCCTCACTTGCAGGTATAACGAGGAGGAGAAGAAGTGGGAGGGTGTCCTCCGAGAGATCGCCTACGCCGCGGGCGCCACCTTCCTCCCCGTGCGGCTCAATGTGCTGCGGCTGACCAAGATGTGAGCAGCGGGGGGCGCGAACCGAGCACCGCTCTGGTGGCAGCCTCAGGCCTGGCCGCGACAGGGCTCCAGGGTGGAGAACGGGGAAGGCCTGAGCCCACCTGGACGCCGTGATGGGACTGAAGGGCCGCGTCAGCCCAGGAGGGGAATCGCTGCCCAGTCCTAGCATTAGGGCAGGGATGAGAAGCCCAAGGCCCTCCGGTGTCACCTTCCCCCAGGGCTTCCTGGCCTGTGAGCCAGAACCATGAGAAGTGTCCTGGCCCTGCCCGGCCTGGCTGTGTGTGCGGGAGTCTTCCCCACGGGACTCAGTCTCCGTGCCACGCAATGGGCGTGCGCCTGCCAAGCAGACACTGCAGCCTGGAGACGTCTCCTCCTTTAAGAAGAATAAAATGCCTGGGAACCAGCAGTTAGAGTAATGGCTATGTCGCTGGACTCCCATGTAGTCGACCACAGTTCGAGTCCCAGACCCGGTGGCTTAAAACTCACACCGGGCGCGTGTGCGTGCGTGCCCAAGATCCCGAGAGGAGAATGGTGGAGAAGGGATTGCGGCATGGCCATCCCCCTGGGGGGTGATTTCTCGCTGTCTCTCTTGTTTCTGTCTGTCTGGCGAGCGCACGCGCCCTATAGCAAAAACCTCTCTAAAAAATAAAAAAAGAAAAGAAAAGAAGAATTAAAAATGCCTTCCCAGCAAGCAGCTCGGGGCCTGGAGTCAAGTGCTCCAAGGCTCGTAACCACGTGGCGTGATAGTCTGGGGCTTCGGAATTTGCTATTGGGTTTCCAAGGCCAGAGGTCTCTGCCCTAAGACCTCCCGCTCTTCATCCGGCGTGGACAAGGAGCCGAGAGACTGGGAGAAGGGCCAGGGAATAGGCAGGCTGTGGTAGAAAAGTCTTTTATTTGATCGGTCAGGGCCCTCTGGCCTGGCCTGGGTGGAGGGCCTGGGGAGAGCAGAGCGGAACACGCCCCCCATCCCACCTACTCCGGCTTCTCTTTGTCCTGCTTCTGATCCTCGTCCAGGGCCAGGGTCCGCTCCCGCTCTTTCACGAGCTGGACACCACAGTAAGTGACAAGCAAGGTGGCCAGCGTGGTCTGGGGGAACCCTGTGAGGGGCAGAGGTCGTCCGTGTCCAGGGGCAGACTCAGCCTCGGTCGCCCTCCTCCTCCCAACCCTCTCCCCACATGACAGGCCTTTCTGCTGAGTCCCCGGTGGGGAGTGAGGGCAGGGACATTGCGAAGGGCACAGTCTCATGGTCGATGCCTGGCGCATTCTGTCTGACCACACGCCGTCCTCGGTCCCTCACCTGTGAGTAGCAGGCGCCGGGCAACAAGCTCCGTGAACTCGAGACTGTTCAGGCTCACGAGGTTGTACATGATGATGGCCCAGAAGTTCATGGCTCCAAAGAGGGCCCGGACCCTGCGAGACATCTGCTCCGACAGAGAGGCCTGCCGGGGCCAGGAACATGTCAGCAGCGGGACAAGGGGCCAGGGGAAAGAGGACACGGCTGGTCACTCGCCTCGCCTCTGTGGTCACTCAGGTCCTGGAGCTATGCCCAGCTTTCTAGGAGTCCCAGGCCAGCTCTCCCTCAGCTAAACACGGGGAGACTTAGCTCCAGACAGAGGGTAAGGCCTGACCAAACCAGCCTGCTCCAGGCCCCACAGAAGGTGCGGAGGGCCAGCTTCCCACAGGGCAGGCCCTTCCCTGGTGACCAGGCAGGTGGGAGTGGAAAAGTTCTGGGCGGAGGCCGAGTGTGGCTGGGTGATGCCAGGAGGCAGAATAGTCGTGTGCCCTCCCGTGACCCAGCCCACCCCAGACCTTCCCTGCTCACCTCAATTCGTGCGAAGGGTCCCCACTCTGCCAGCTTCTGCACCCAGAGCTCAAAGTTGAGGCCAAAGCAGTTAAGGAGTGACCACAGGTAGACGATGTCACAAGGCCCCAGCCACAGGGTGGTGATGGCGAATGTGGCCACGGTGGCCACCAGCTCTGGGACCACGGCAGAGTGCTCCCCACCTATGTGGTCGTACACGTACCTGCAGGAGAGATGGGGAGGGGACGGGTGTGAGATGGGGGCCACTGCAAGGCCATGGCCTGGCGCACTCCACGTTTCCAACCTCGGGGCTCCTCCTCCCCTCCTCTGTCGGACCTCCAGGTGAGGAGCACGCGGCCCAGGTCCCTCTCCTCCAGCCAGGCCCTCTCACCAAATGCTCCCCTCCAGACACAAGGCTTCAAATGCCACCTCCGTGCCGATGACCTGTCTCTAGCCCAGTCCCTCCTGATTCACACTCAGCCATTGCTACACACAGCACCTGAGTGACTGATCGTTCCTGCCTGAGCCCGGCCCTGCCCCATCCCTGTCTCAGCAGGCCGCCCCGCTCTCCCTCCAGCGGCTCAGGCTGTAAGCCTCGGCACCTTCTTGAAACCTCGAGTCTCCTCGTCACCTACGTCCAAGCCAGCAGGTTCTGTTGGCACTGCTCGGTCCTGACCACCTCCCTGGACCCCCACCACCCTCCAGTCCAGGTGATTGTCTCCCCCATAGAGATTACTGCCATCGCCCAGAAAGGCTCCTCCTGCCCCTGCCATCACCTCTGCAGTCCACTCCTGACACAGCAGCCAGTGTAGCTCACGTCACATCACGTCCACAGGGACTCCCACGCCCCGTAACTTCCCACCAAAACTGGAATCAGCTTCTCGATTCTGGCCGGAGGAGCCCACATAGCCTGATGGCCACCTCTCCCCACCACTGCCCCACGTTCACTCTGCAGACCCCACTGGCCTGCAGACACAGCTGGTTCGTGCCTCAAAGCCTTCACACTCGTTACTTCTACCTGGAATACTCTTCCCCAGGTCCCGTTATTGCTTGAGTCTCGATTCAGATATTGCTTCCATAGGGAGGTGAGGATTCAGACTGAGGGGTCTTCTGTCTGTGGCCAAAATCTATCCCATCATGCTCTCCTGTTTCTTCTATAGCACTCCACACTCTACAATTCTTTTTTTTTTTTTTTTTTGGGAGGGGTTTGGGCTATAGGGAGTTGGGGACGCTTGCCAGAGAGACAGAGAGACAGAAAGCGAGAAATCACCCCCCGGGGGGATGGCCACATCGCAATCCCTTCTCCTCCATTCTCCTCTCGGGATCTTGCATACACATGCACACGCACCTGGTGTTAGTTTAAGCCACCAGGTCCGGGACTCAAACCGCGGTCGACTACATGGGAGTCCAGAGACATAGCCATTACGCCAACTGCTGGTCCCTCTACAATTCTCATCTATGTCTGTTTACCTGTTTATGGCCTGTTTCTCCCCATTGGACTGTAAGCTCCACGATCGTTGCCATGTTCACTGCTGTATCCCCAGTGCCTAGAACGGTGCCTGGCACATAGTAGGTGCTCAATAAATATTGGTGAAATAAATTCAGTGGAAGATCCATGGAGGAGCTCTCTGTTGCTTGACCTCCTCATTTTCAAGGGTTTCTTCTTCACTCTACCTTGGCTGCCCAGCCCCGTGGACACACTCCCACGTTGAAATTTCATTCTTTCCTAATAATTCTCACGCTTGCCCAGCCTTCCTGACCCTCTGGCCTTCCGACTTTGAGTTTTTCAGCTTCACTGACTTCGTGACCCATCTTCACCACCCTCCGTAACTGGCTTATACCAATGAGTCATTATGAACAATGACCTAAAGGGCCAGTCACGTGGCATGGTGGTGAGGGTGGCTCAATTCCACATGGCCAGTTGTGCAGTTCAAGTGCTGAACCTGGCCGTTTGAAAAACATGCCAGGCACATGTGCGTGCAGGCCCAAAATCACAAGAGGAGAGTGAAGGAGAAGGGGCTGCTGCACAGTCATCTTCCCTGAGGGTTGCTTTCTCACCTTCTCCCTCTCTGATGAACACACGTACATTCTTTTATTTATTTATTTTTTTTTGGAGAGGTTTTTGCTATAGGGCATGTGCACTCGCCAGACAGACAGAGAGACATAAAGTGAAACATCACCACCCGGGGGGATGGCCATGCTGCAATCAATTCTCCTCCATTCTCCTCTCGGGATCTTGGGCACACATGCACACACACCCGGCGTGAGTTTAAGCCACCGGGTCCGGGACACGAACCGCGGTCGACTACATGGGAGTCCAGCGACATAGCCATTACGCTAACTGCTGGCCCCAACAAATATTTTCAATGGAAATGAGCAGTCTAAAAATGCTAACACCCTGATGTGATTACATAAGCAATTAGCATTAGCTATCCCCACTTCCTTCTTCCCATCTGGGAGGGTCTGTTACCTCCTTTCTCCTCACCTGCACCCAAGCAGTTAAGCCCTGCTGGGGAGAACCTCACCTCTTCAATACCAGGGCCCATAAGCCCACCACTCCAACCCCACCTGGGCTCTCAGTGTGAGGTTTCTGTGGTCAGCTCCTGGGCTCTGCAGTGGTGAGGCAACCATGGCTCCTGCAAGCATTCGGAGATGAGGCCGGGATCCAGGCCCCCAAACAGCATCTCAGCTGACGACCTCCCTCTGACTTCAGGGAGAAGATTGAAGCTTGCAGGCTTCAGCTTACCTGTCTGCACTAACCCGTCATCTGTGTCCACACTGGATTCTTTTTTTTTTTTTTTTTAGGTTTTTTTTGTCTAGGGCCAGTGTGGTGTGCACTCGCCAGAAAGACAGAGACAGAGAGACAGAAAGCGAGAAATCACCACCCAAGGGGGAGGGCCACGCCGAAGTCCCTTCTCCATTCTCCTCTTGGGATCGCGGGCACTGCACTGAATCTGGGACTTGAACCGTGGTCAGCTACATGGGAGTCCAGCGACAGAGCCATTGCTGGTCCCCACACTGGAATTTTTTTTTTTTTTTGGAGAGGTTTTTGCTGCAGGGCGCATGTGCTCGCCAGAAAGACAGAAAGAGAGACAGAGAGACAGAAAGCGAGAAATCACCCCCCAGGAGGGATGGCCACGCCACAATCCCTTCTCCATTCTCCTCTCGGGATCTTGGGCACACATGCACACGTGCCCGGCATGAGTTTAAGCCGCGGGGTCTGGGAATCGAACTGCGGTGGGCGACATGGGAGTCCAGCAACATAGCTATTACGCTAACTGCTGGTTCCCACACTGGATTCTTGAACCCCTCTTCCTCCTCTTGAAGCCAGGCCTCTGCCTGGAACTGGATGCCGTCAGCTCCTTCCTCCTCGGGGCCTTGGTGCATCAGCCCCCCTCTCCTGCAGCACCTGCTTCTCTGCTGACAGTCCCCTCAGCACCGGGCACGTCCCATTATCTCCTGTCTTTAAAACGCCCCGCGTCTCCCTTTGGCTCCTCCACTGTCTTTCCCCGTAGTTCCAGGCTTCTTCCAGGAGCACCCACACGCGTGCCTACAGTCCCCCAGTTTCCTTCCACCCCTTTCACCCCTCACCCACACTGCTGTTCCTGCTGTTCCACCAAAGAACTGAGAACCCCAGTGTTGCCACACTAAGCATCTGTCTTTAGCTCCCTGGACCTCGGCGGCACTTGACCCAGCTGTGCCCCTCCTTGATGGTCTCCTGGTGGTTTCAAGGCGTCACGGGGCCTTGACTCCCCTCCTGCTCCTCTGACCTCCCCTCTCAGTCTCTTCTGCTGTCTCTTTGTTCTCTCTCCAAGCAGAGTCCTTGCAGGCCAACCTCAGCCAGCCCCTATCTCTTTGACTCTCCTTTCTCCCCTTAGGACTCAGCCTCTCCCAAACCCAAAGTCCACCCAACGTCAGCCATGACGCTCAGCGCTCCATCACTCCTCCAGTGGCGCCAGGCCCAGCTTTCAGAGCCAGCTACCTCCCTGGGTCTGCCGAGGGTTAACCCGGATTCCAGTTAGGCAGCTCTCAGACCGAACCCTCGCAGGAAACCGCCTCTCCCCCCTCTCGGGCTGCAGATAGCAACAGGGGTCATCTCACTCTCCTTGCCTGGACCCCGCTCTGCTCCCACCACCCCCTCCACCCTCTCCCTCACCCCAAGGCCTCCTCACTGCCCTCCTTGCGCTCTGGCTCGGGCAATCTTTAGCCCGGTGGACCAAGTTCGGCCCTGCCCTGCGCAGGCGCCTGGAGGGACGGCGGCGCCCCCCCCCC